TTTGCATATGTAATTTGATTGGGTGTTGATGCAAAAACTACTAAAGATTCATAGAACACTAATATGTTGCTTAGGTATAAACATATAATATACACTCTCAATTAGATCATCTGAAGACGAATTCATAGAGACCAAACATGGTATATGTAAGGTTACATGAATGAGTGGTTGGTTGGATGGATGGATAATGAATTAATAATGAACAGATGGATAGATAGATGGATGAGCAGGAAGATAGACAGATGGATGAACAGATAGATGGAGAGATAGACAGATAGTTGGATGGATGGATGGATGGATGGATGAAGAGATGGAGATGGATGAATACTTGGATGAACAGAATAGCAATGGAGATGGATGAATACTTGGATGAACAGAATAGCAGGATGGATGGATTATGAATGGAGAGATAGAGAGATGGAGAAATAGACAGGTAAATGGATGGATGGATGGATTATGTATTAATGGATGAACAGATGGATAGATAGATGGCTGAACAGATAGATGGAGGCAAGATGGCAAGATGGATGAATGGAAATGTAGATGGACAGACAGACAGACAGACAGATAGACAGATAGACAGATAGATAGATAGATAGATAGATAGATAGATAGATAGATAGATAGATAGATAGATAGATAGATAGATAGATAGATGAATGAATAGATTGATTCATTTTACTTCATTATATAATTGATATCCTTTTATGGTGTAAGACGTGATGTAGGAGGTTTTACAAACACTCACACATACTTACACACACACACACACACACACACACACCTGTCTCTTCATCTCAAAGACAGTGGTGTATTGCTGTTTGGTAATTACACTGTGTCTCTTCATCCTTCCACCCCCAGAGTGACTTACATTTCGCCACTAAAGGTGCTGCTTCAGTGTGAAGTGTGTGTTTCTGTGCTCTCCTGTATTCATGAAGACAAACACACAAAGCCTTGCTCTCGATGCCCCTTAGCACCACCACCAAGCCACCTGCACCGCTGGCTCTGAAGTTAATTGGACAGCATGTCTCCTGGTCTCCGTGGCAACTGTGACCTGCAGCAAGATGGATGGAAACTTCTGCCACCAAACCCCCAGAACCACACCCACCCCCAGCCAATCTCCTAATCTCCTAGTTTTATTTATGAGTGCCAGGAGGCCCCTCGCCGTGGACGGAGCGCGACTCAGCTGTTGCCTCCAACCCACTCACTTTAAAAGCTCTTAAATCCTATTGTCTAATTAGCAGCCTCATGCTTTCTTCAACATCTCCCCTTGTTTCAGACCCCTTTGCTCTCAAGTTGTTTGTGAGGACTGGGAAAAGGGCATTGTGGTGTCATTCTGCATCCAAAAACGGTCCCATCTTGAAATCAGACATGCACTCTTCTCATCTCTTATAACTGACGTTTTATTGTGACTATAAATGATCCTAAAAGCTTGTTGTACGTCTCGGTCCTGTTCCAGGGCAAGACGATGCAGAAGAAAGAAAATTAAACCAAATGGCACACGAAGAATAAAAGTGAATTAACCAATAACAAATCACCCTCTGCGCCCAGCCTCTCCCCTTTTTTCTTCACTAACTCATCTAAATTTGTTCGACATCCTTTGGGCCGGGGTCCAAAAAGGCTTTTAGAGCCATAAAGTGTATGGATCAGGATAAATCACATTAAGCAATCCAATTTAATTAAAGCATTGACAAAACATAATAGAAACTAATGCGGGGGGGGGGGGGCCTTTTCTTTTTATAAAATCCATACCCGGACCTTTTTTTGGCGGC